CCAACGAGCGCCTGGTCTGCTGGAGACAGTCCCCAGCAGACCAGGGACACCCAGAGCAAAGCCTCAGAGGCGCGGGACCCCTCCACCTCCCCGGCTTTGCTCCAGGTGTCCCTGGTCTGCTGGAGACGGTCCCCAGCAGACCAGGGGCACCCGGAGCAGCTTTTCTCGCCCCGGAGGTCAAGGTGGCGGGACCGCTGCGCTCTGGGCGGTCCCGCTGCCTGCGAGCTCCGGGGCGAGAAAGCCCCGTTTGTAAGTGCGGATCCGACATAAGTCGGATCCGCGTAACTCGGGGACTGCCTGTATCTTCAAATGTGAGGAAAACTTCCTATTCTGCATAGTCTCTACACAAGTTATAAAGCACTCTGTTAAAAAAAACATTTCAAACTAAATAAATAACCATCCTCAGTGAGGACTACCTTGATGCTGGATTATATTCATATTTTTATTCTGAAGAATGCCTGGACATGTGTAATAGAAAAAAAACCTATATTTTCCCCATCCGCAGAAGTTTGCCTAATCTCACTTTGGTTAATCCCCCAAAAGCTACTGTTACATGAAGCTGAGCACATTTGCTGACAGACTAAGGTAGTTGAAATTGTTTTGCTATCTGAATTAGGTGCTGAAAAACACCTTTACTATAGTTAGAGCTGAGGAAGTGTTACCAGAATGGATCACAGGAGTTAAGAGTATATTTCCAATAGAGGCAGCAAGGCAGGGGGAGTGACTAGTTGAGTCACTACTCAACTACCCGATAAGCATGCCTTATTGGGTAGTCGACTAGTCACTTACATCCTTAATTTCTAAGATTACATCGAAACAAAGATGTATGAAAAAACGTTGTAAGGCTTCTAAAAAGTTAAAGGGTTAATATTTCACTACATCTTAATATTCAAACATCCTGCTACACCTCAAACGCAAACTAAAAACTGTAACCATTCATTACATAGTTTGCATCACAGGAGTCGGGAAGAATCTCACTTAAACAGGCTGCTTGCTAAAGACAAAAACATACTATAATCTACTATATTTTCATTCAACATTTGTCCTACAAAGTTTTAAATGTTTCCTTGAACATTTAGCTATCCCAGATCCACCTTGCAAAATCCACCTTGCAAAATTTAGAATCCACCTTGCAAAATTATGTAAGTTTCCATGTTAGCCTTGTATCTGATCTGTCACTATATTTTTGGACTACTTCCTCCACAACCTAAATTTACATGAGGCGTTCTCAGATTTTGCTAATTGATTTTACTTCTATGAAGCTTAACCTAGAAATGTAAAGCTTTAAATAATTCAATGAACTTCCAAAATTATTCAATGTGTAATAGACCTTTTAATTTTGAAAATCAGTTCATCATCTACAAGCAAAGACCAGTATTCAGGATTCTTTTGCCCTGAACAGTTGACATTGGTCACTGCCTTAACTATATGGTGTTTTGCCAAGATTTCAATCATGGGTGTCCATACAAGGTACAAACCCCTAGGCATGTTGTAGTCACGATTTACTTTATCACTACAGGTTGGACTTCCTTTGTCTGGCACCCTTGGGACCTGGCCCATCCCAAATGAGGGAATTTGCCAGATCGGGGAGGTCCCCTGCCATCAGCCTCCCAGGACGCTCCCCCTCCCTGTGGCTAGCTCTGCTTCGGCCCCACTGCCACAGGGCTCCAACCTGCAGGCGTTAGTCTTGGGCTCTGGCATGCGGGATCTCCCCAGGGATGGAGCTCAGCAGCGGCAGCATTGCTTCTCCCCCACCTGACCAGGAATTCTCGGGAACAGAGCTTGCCAGCTGCCCCGCTTCTGTTGTGCTCTGCTGGGAATCTCAGGGGGACGGGGCTTGTTGGCTACCCCACTGTTGCCCCACCCAACCAGAGTTCCCCAGGGACAGGGGCTCACTGGTCCTGCTGCTGCCCTGCCGGAGCTCCCCTAGGATGGGGTTCGCACTCCTGGGTGCCGGGGGTTCAGAGAGTTCCAGATTTCAGAGATTCAATCTGTACTAGAGGTTTTGCATAGGTGGAAATTTCCAACATAGGCAAGGTCTAGGACAGCACTTCCTGCACTGTTGTAGGTGTTCAGGATACTTTGGATTTACAGTTCTAAAAGACCTCAAAACATTTCAGAAATATTACAATTATTATCTCCATTTTTTTTTAAACAAAAATAATGGAGGGAGACTGAGTAAGTGATTTCCCAAAATTTCACAGGAAGTCTGACACAGGTGAGAATAGTACCCATGTGCGACTTCCAGTCTCATGCCAAGCAGATCTAAATGTTTTTAAAGGTTGAATTACAAAGCTGAAACAAAAAATTATATAGAAACTCTACTTGCACTTGTATCTGAGAACTTAAAACATGACTCTGTATTACAGGAAATTTTAAAATTACAGGAAACCATTTAAATGGTCAGATTTACTTCTATCAGTTAAGGCAAATTGCACGATAAACTGACAGGAAACTCCAAGAACCTTAAGGCAAATTGCATGATAAACTGACAGGAAACTCCAAGAACCAGCTGGTTAATATGTATCATTTGTAATTTATTTACATTTTATTATGAGATGTAATACACAATGCAAAAGAGCTGGATTTTTTTCCCTGACGAATGGCAACAAATCTCCATTTATCTAGATAGACAGATAGAATATTAATCTCCATACTTCGTACTTCTTGATGTAAAATTGCTATTAGTCACATTTGAAACTAAGTTCTCTCAGAGTAGCCCAACGGTACACCAATCACACTCAGAATTGGAGTTCAACAGAGCTCTTTTTACTGTGTCTCATGAGATAATTAAGGAGATATTATATAATTTGTGAAAAAGCAGGATTAGGTAACTAAGTCACCAGTTCCTTGATAAACTCAGTCCTACAAAAAGACTTCTCCCTCTGCTGATTTTGGACACTAAACAGATTCTCAGATGGAAGGAAAACTGAATTTTTAAAGAATGGAACTACTTCACTCTGTATTTTTCTTCTTTTTGGTGAGTTATTCGCCTAAAAAAAGAGCTGGGGAACCACTGAAAGATTTGCCAGAAATCCAGCAGTGGAGGAGCTTCATCAGTGCCCTAAATGCCAGATACATAATGGAGACAATATGATTAGCTTGTAAGGGCACTTTCCTAAAGTTAGTTTTCACTTTATTCTGCACACATTTTTAGAAATGAGGCAACTGTCATGAGTTCTCCACCGAGATGGAACCTAAAAAAGCCTAATTCCTTCTGCCTTGCCTTTCAACCTGGAAGTTGAATTACAAAATTAAACATAGAACACTAGACCCGGAAGGGACCTCGAGAGGTCGAGTCCAATCCTCTGCCCTCATGGCAGGACCAAGCACTGTGGATCATCTCTGACAGGTGTCTGTCTAATCTGCTCTTAAATATCTCCAGTGATAGAGATTCCACAACCCTCCTAGGCAATTGATTCCAATATTTAACCACCCTGACAGGCAGGAAGTTTTTCCTAATGGCCAACCTAAATCTCCCTTGCTGCAATGTAATAAGTCCATTGCTTTTTGTCCTACCATTACTACTACAAAAAGCTCAGGTTGGATAGCAGTGTGTTTTATAACACCTGCAATCAGGAGTCTCACTATGAAATTACATTCCCACAAAATCTACTTGATTAGATAACATACACTAGTAAGCATCTTAAATTTATTGTAAAATTATACCTATTAAATAGCAGTTCTCTTCTAATATTCCTAAAGCAACAGCACTTAACTAAAGGAACAAATCTCATTTATCAGATAGCATAACAAAAATAATTTCA